AACGAAATTATTTGCTAAAGTTTTTTTCAACTAAATGAATATTGAAATAATTAAAAGACGAGACACTAAAAAGGAAGCTTTTTCACAGCAAATTTCCTGTGCTCCTTCGAAAGCAAGAAAATATTATTCTTCAAACCCCTACTTCATTTAAATTTTTTAAGATGGCACCAATCATAGCTTATTATGTTTGTGGTTCGACACCGCCAAATAATAAGAAGATGATAGCATGAAAACCATGCTTTATATCGTATTGATAAAATTTTTATTGATTAGTACAGACGGTAAGATCCTAATTCCTCACTTCCTGATATCAAAAAGTTGAAAAAATGTTACACCCAGTCTACTTACACAAAAAAAACGTATAAGCGTATGCATACAAGAAAAGAAAAAAAAGATTAGTTAGCAAACATAATTTCTTTATGTACTAAAGTTTATTTCATATTGAGGAATACTAGAGTTTATGTTTATCAAATGGTTCAATAAATTTCAGTAAAACGGTGGAAAGAGAAGCACGGGGAGGACTAGGAGAAGAGAAATGGAGGAGTATATAATGTCGAGCTCCCGTCTCTCATTTGTCCTCATAATTGTACCATTTACGGTACAAAAAAGGTTGACATAGTCAGCCTAGATCAATAAAAGGAAACAATAAAAGTTATTAATATAAAAGGTTTCATAAATATTCCACATTTTGATAAAGTAAAGAATGCAATTTTTGGTGATGTAAAAGAAAAAAATTGAAAGCGCCTTATAAGCACATATTCATACTTGGGCTTGTTTTTATACCCATCACCGATGGAGGACGGTACATTCATTTTGTTAAACCATTTGCAAGACCCAAAAACAAGCTTCGCAGACGCCGTAAAGTATATATTCTTGATCAGCATCAAAATCTCAATCGATTGAAGCTTGTTCGTCCGTCCGGCAATGTAATGTCTATTTTAAACATTCTCCCGCTTACAAAAATGAAGATATCGCCTACAAATTTGAAAACCATTTTGAAAATACCCCAAACCAACGAACACAGGGCGCCTGCACTCCTGTGCAACAGAAACTGTGAGCACCCTTGCTTTCAGTGTTTTTAGCTTTTTACGTACAACCCATAAACCATATAAATTTTCACATTTGCTCTGAAAATGAAAAACATCAACCGCGCCCACCCAATATCATGAAATCTGAATATTTACCTTTTTTCCTTTTTTCATTTTTCTTTTACCATAACGGTGTCGTCAAAATACTCGCTCTTTCGGTTTTATCGTTTCATATTTAGTAAAGAGTTTGGTCTAGATGAACCGCCAAATTTGTATCAATCGTGCAAATTCAAAATGGCTTTAAACATTTGAATGCTTCATGTCTTGCCAATCGCGGCATAGAAGCATTGCGTAAACACTCATCTCTACTTTTTTCCATGAAAGGGAGGAAGATTTAAAAAAGAAATCGTTAACTAAGATCATAACTTTTTATATATTCATTACTTTTCTAAATGAATCAGCGCGATCGTAAACACGTTTGACTTCATTCAATTTGATGGTAAGGACGGATGAAATGTGGCAAAACATTGTAGATTTAATATATTTGACATAATGAATAAGTCACCTTTTTCATATTTTCTTCTATCATTCGCATAAATTGCTAAAGCTCACAAATGGAATAACCAGGGTGGACTATATAATGGAAAGTGGTTTGTGTTTTAAATTTTTATTTGCTGGCAATTAGTCGTAGGTTATTAACAATTTAATGGTAAGGACGTGTCGTAATTCTAATAATCCTATGTCCTTACACACATTTTCTGAAGGCTGTGGATAAAAGCAGATGTAATAATAGTAACTAGGAACAACAGCGATAATGCTGCTAACAACCATTTGGCTGCTTGCCAACACCTTTGTATGCAAAATGTCCACCAATACACATGCGGCAGATAGATGCAGAAGCCATTTAAAACTATTTGCCAGTTCCATCACACTAGTTATGTTCTTGCCAAATTCGCACGAAGTTTGATTTATTCAATCAATCATCGTTGTAAATCGTTGAACTTTTTTACATATTTTTATTAATTCTTCATATTTCATTCTTCTTGAATTTGAGTTACTTTCTAATAAACATTTGTGTAATATATTGAAGTTGAATTTCAATACTAGAGATATTATGGTACTTTATAGAGTATATATATTTTTGAAATTTTAAAAGATAATAACGAGTTATATCCGCATGTAAACGACGACTTTTCGTTTCCTTTTACCACAACTTTTTGGATTTACTACGTTTAGTTGCAAATGTTACCCTTATATCCACTTTTTTCTCGTTTCTTTGATTTTTTTTAACATAATATCTCATCGAGAAAAAAAGGTTGACAAATAATCCAGAACGTTGCTGAAATAGAGTAGTTTTCTAAAAAAAACAACCTATCGGAATTTTATTGTCAATGCCGGATCCACCTTGAGTGCTGAAATATCTAATAAATTATAAAAAAAGAAGCTGCCTAAGAATCTTTCCGTCAACATGACTAATTCCAATATCAGTAACATAAAAAAATTGATTAATACAGCTGCTAATACTTGGAAAGTATCATCGACTACCGTAATGCCATTTACGAATATTACAATCACAGGCAATGCTTTGTGAATTTATTAATTTAATTCGTTCACGGATTAACGAGATTAAATAAAAGAAATGTAGACGAATCCAAAAGGTTGTCAACATATTTTCGTAAAAGATCTCGTTCCCACAAAAGGTCAAATAGTCGCAATAAGTTTGCGCTTTGTTGCTTCGATTACCTGTAAAAACAAATTTAGAAGGTGGGAGCTGTCTTAGTCCTTTCTTAACTCCAACCCGTCAACAAATTATGAAATTTTATTAAGCTGCAGATTTAGTGACGTCGCCTTTTTTTTAAGTCAACAAATTATATTTTTAAATGACAGGGAACAGAAATTTTTCTAAAGAAATATACTTGCTTAGCGGGCTACTTAAGCCTGCCAATCCTACGATTGCTCACATAAGGACTACGAAAAGCGTGTCTTTGATTTAAAAATCTAGGCGGCTAGACCCTATCAAACACAATATAGCTAAAGTGAAATTCAATTCCGTTATTAAATCACTATTTTCTGCACCTTCCGGCTACGATTAACCTAAATGTTAATTGTGAAAGTGAGAAACTTTTTCTGGAAATTAAATCCGATAAAATTTTACGCATAAATATCCACCCAATACCACTGCTTTCCAAATGAGGTCTAAGGTACTCAGCTCAGATATTTCAATGGCTTACAAATAAAATTTTTGTTTTATGAAGGAGCACGTATAACGTAAGTAAATGAACACATACGTCTATTCATTGTTGTGTTAAAATAGGGGTTCGCTTCTCTTTAAACTTTCTTTTATTTGCATCCAAAACAATGATCAAAGTTATGGAAACAACGTCAAATCAAATCTGAAACTAGTTTATCGTCAACCGATCAAAGCAAGCACATATGCGCTACCGATACTCGCCAAAGACGTTAATAATGCTATTATTGCCAAAAAAGTCAAAAGATACTAACTGCTAACGTAACACATATTGCAAGCGAGACAACCATCCGCCTTAAGTGCTCCTTGAAAATTTGGACCCAGACCATGGTGGGCTTTAAAAGTTAAATCTTGGGATATTTCACTCTCAGCTTACAAAAAAGAATGTACGTCATATTTTGTGTTCAGAGAAGTAATCGCCGAAAAAAGACGCTTGTTGGAAAGTTTTGGTAGACATTTTCATTTTACAGACGGTTGAAAGAGTGACGACTGGTCCTTTGCCTATGCATTGGTAGATGTTGCAGAATAAATCCATTCTTATCACATCCAATGTACAACGTTCAAAATTTAATGCTTTTGTACATGCAAAACTCCTTTAGGAACATCTTACTTTACGCTAAAGGGCCAAAATTTCTTATTCACGAAGCCTTTCAACCAAATATGGGCACCATCCGAAATATGCGAAACATTGGTTCACCGTTTTCGCAATAACTTTTAATAATTTCGGGAACCTCTACAACTATGTATGTATTGTACTCCACAACTAACGGCAAGCGTCAAACAATATATTTTAAAAAAAATTTATCCAAATCTCAACCAGAAGCGTGTTTTACTTACCCAACCACAAAGTAGAAGAACGTAGAAAAATCTGGGAATTGCTTTTCAGCAACAACCAATATGTATTTACATATGCACAGACGTTTTGTGCACATACGAAATTATAAATTCTTTTGTAAAATTTTGTTGGTAAAATCGAATTTCTATTAATTTTTTTCCCTTCTGCTTATTTTTATTTTTCTGGTGTTTTCATTACCATCAACATAAATCTGTCAATCACAAAACGTTATTTTTGTAAAACCGTTTAGCACGCTAGGCCACATAATTAAAGAAAAGAGAATTTTCACAACTCCGCCTTCCACTCTGCCTGCATATGGGAGAGAATGAGATTTGCTTGCCGATTGGTGCAGACATCAAGCGATCATTAACTTTTCATTTTCTTTCTTTTTTTCAGTTCTCAAATACAGTGGATAAGAGTGCGTAAGAAAACCACAAGATAACAAAACAAACAAATAAATAAAAATATATATATATAGGTGAAAACCATGGTGTGCAGTTTTCAGCAAATGTCAATGATTTGCAGGTTCGTAAATGCGCAATGCACACACATTTTATGTGCTTTTCAATATATGCAAGAACAGTAAGTCAAAAATAAATTTATAATGAACATTTTTTAAAATGCTTTAACCATCTTTCCATTTCTCTGATTATTACGTGGTTTGTGTATGTTTACATTTTTAACGGAATCTCGGAATTTAAACTAAACTTCCGTGAAATTTATCAAAATACTTGAAACAGTTTTTCAAAACACAATAAACCTAATTCCTGCGGCTTTTGCTTTTATTCTCCAAGTAACTAATTATTGGTGGAAAAATGAGCCAAATAAAAATATGAGGTTTCAAAATAGCAATATAGTAAAATAAAAATGAATGTGTAAACAAGTCAAATAAAAAGAAACTTTTCGTACAGGCAAATTTTGCAGTTAAAAAAGCATTTATTTTGCCAGCGATTGGTTCGCATAAATTTCATATCCTTTCAAGTTGATTGCTCCACTGTTTTAATATTTTCTGGTGAGATGGTTCATTCCATTGCACGTATCAATTTGTCGAAATCACATACAAATCGAACACCAGTTATGATTATTTTAGTAGCGTGTAGGATGTCTTACGAACTGCTTGCGCGATCAGTTTAAAAAGCAATTCAATAACGCAAAAATTTGCGGGATTTCTCACATAGTCTTCAAAGAAAGCTGAGCGGTTGCGGGCAATTCGAACAACGAAAATTCTCTGTAAATTTGTGAACAAAATGTAAATTTTAATAGAGGTTTCAAATTGTCGTTTTATAAATATGATATCAAAACACAATAAAAATATGACGGTTGTAGAAGAAAACGCAAAAAAGCAATCGTATTTAACGATAAATGCCAAGAATGAAACGCCTACAAATTTAAGTGCCGACATGATAGAATGTGTTGAAGAATTACTGGAAAGTGATAAGATTATGGCAAATGTCAAAGAAAAATCACTACAAGTGACCAACGAGGTACAAGTACAGCAGTTAAGTTTCGGGGTTGATCGCTTATTAAATCGCAGCGAAGACACGCAATTTAAAATAATTGCTGAACAATGTGAATCGGTTGAGAAGTTATGTAACGAAGCAAAAATTTCAGTTAAGTGTTGCGATAATGCGAATTCCAGTTACTCATGCTGTTCATATCCAAAGTATTCGGTAGCGAGTAGGCAAGCGGATGTCCAACATTCACGTCATTTAACATACACCGTAAACTCGTGGCAAATAACTCCTGCCCCCGCTATACCGAAAAATAAGATCCAGGATGCTTTTATGGATTCAAAAAATATTATAAGACCTACACCGATACGTGCTTTGGGAAACCCGATTAATGACAGCGGTAATGTTTCTGCTGAAACTTCTTGAATAAAAAATTTCTTTGATAATTTAAAATCAGTTCAAATGTGAGAATAACAAGCTGTAGTCTCATCAATAGAAGTGAATTTTCCACAGTAATTTATTTTTGTTCTTGTATACAAAATACAAATCTTAAAACATAAAGAAAAATTGTTCGGATTTTTTAAAACCATTGAAGGCGTTGCAGCTCAGAAAGAGCAATGCCCCTTTTTTTAACGTCCCCAGCTGTTATAATATAGATCGAAAAAGCCTGAAAATTTTCTGAAAATATCATTCAAAATCAAAAGAAACATTGTCAGATTTTTCCTAACATTATTTTAAAAATAAATAAAAACACCATGGTGAACCACGACCTACCCGTAACATGGTCCTGAAACTGTAAGACACGTCTATTAAACTTACTGGAGTCTGATTAAACAAAGCCATTGAGATAAATGCTGGAGAGTAGAGTGCACCATACTCATTCATATGAATAGGCACATACTAAGTTTAGGTGCGTGAACGAAAGGAAGCACACATCAGAAATCTACAAGATATATAGTTACGCTTAGCAAGTTCGGAATGAGTGCGATTTTGCTATAATAACTCTGAAAATTTAATGAAAAACAAAATCTGACTAACCTGCCGATACATTTGTCTCAAGCGGTTATAAGTTTGTTACTTGTTTAGTTTAAAAATTTCCCCGTTTCCGGATGAGATGCGGCAGGATTATTGTAAATTAGCGCATTTTTTGCATCCGCTCATGTGCTTTCGTATTCATGAAGCGTATTATTGATTGCAAAGCTATATTTGTTTAAGATATTTTAAATCCTATAATATATAATAAAATTTTTTAAATCAAATCTTTTACCTTACACTTCAGTTTTTTTAATTTTTTCTCAATTCAATTAAATGTTCCGAAATTTGCTTCATAAACCGTGTTCGTTAGTCCGTATTGTTTATGAAAATCTCTTTAAATAATTTTCAAAGGGTTGGTTCGAAAACATTACACGATATGCTATTTTAAGTAAACTTTATGCACAGAAACTGAAAATAATCATCTCTCACTGAATTCATACTCCTATCAAGTTTTGATGTCTGTTATCTTCTCTCGCGGTCTCTTTGAGTCCTTTACTCCTATCATTGTATGTGAATACGTATGCGTCGATTTGTCATTAAAATTTAATTAAAAAATGTTAGGAGTGACTTTGCGCAATGCAATGTCCAAAAATACCCATTACTTCTCTCATCTTTAATATAGGATATGTTAGTGCTTAAGTGGTTATGGATAACAATAAACAAGTCACTAAAGAACCCATATTCGATATCCTCTTAAGAATGTGAGCGTTTTTTAAGTAAGCGATAAGTGGTCTATTGGGACCTGTGTTAATCGAAGGGAGCAATGTGTACTAATAACAGCGGCCAGAGCAGGAGAGTCCGGATTAGAACTCTGTAAATATTTCCTCTCATATTGTGAATTTTGGTTTTTCGTCCCAGCTACATCGATTGTTGTTGACAGCCTAGTGATGGGTTCATTTGATGGGAATAAACCATAAAGAAACAAAACCACCATTATATAGAACTGCCTGCAATATACTTATACTGCCCATTAAAAAAAAATTAAAGTAAGCAGCATTTGAGCCATATTTTCCCTTTAATGTTGAAGCATCCATCCAGGTTGCTATTTTAGATAATAGAAATCGGCTATAACGGTAGAAAAAGCTAAAAATTTACATAAAAAATCATTCATGGCAGGTGTCGTAACCTGGACAGCATATTTTTGCTATCAATGGCATTGGCAATGGCATTCTTTGCAATACAAAATTTCATCTTTTCCAAGTTAAGACTAGCGTTATTTAGCAATTTAAAAAAAAAAAAAAAAAACGAGGGATTAGTCATTGGAATGTTGAATAATTATTAATTTTTAACCTTAAATTGATGCTTTTCGTCTACTCTACAATTTTTAAAACAACATAAAAAAAATTTCTCGTCGTTTGGGAGCCTTTGTTTGCTTTCTTTGCTGCATTCTTCCTTTTTTATTTATACATATTAGGTAAGTATTTTGCATGTTTGACTGTTTTCTATTTTATTTACGTAGGTTTTTCATATTGGGTACGATATTGGGATTTTCGTAGTGCAAAAATGGTCCACAAAAAATTCTCCCACAGACATAGGTCTGCGGAGAATTTGAATTTTTTTTATGCTCACTATGAAGGCAGAAGCATTAAAAATTTATTTGATATATTTCAAAGAGCGAATGCTAGATTTTTAGGTTTTCTGTCTTTTCCACTCCACTTTAAAATTATTCCAAAAAATTTCGTTTCTGCTCTAAAAAAAAAATTTAGTTATTTTAACGGAAAGCGCACATAATAAGTAAGGTAAGGTGTGATACTAGGTTGTGGCTTTTTTTTCTAAGAACAATTTTATTGTGCCAGTACAAGTGTTCATGGACATTACGTCAATTGTATCATGCATGTATCTTAAATTGGAAGTAAAGAAATTTCTTCGAAACTGAAATATGAAACTATCAATGTGTTTTTCTTGAAACCGTTTCTTTTGGGCTCGCCGTGCCTCTGACTTTTTCATTTTTCATTCGGGTGCGTTGAAGTTCCAATGAGCATCGTGTGATTTGCTATTTTGATGGCTATTTTCAAACGAAGTACGAAAAAAACATTATCTTTCAAAAGCTCTTCTCTCCCCACGCCTATTGTTTCTAAAGAGTTAATGTGCATTCATACAATTTAAATTGCACATTGTCTCAAACTTTCAAATCTTAATGAGCCTTTTTCTTTTTCGTCCGTCTTTGAACAATTGTAGTCTTAGCGTTAAGAGAAACAACATAGTTTTTTGCTAATAGATTTACAAAATGAAAACATCGAAGTATCCTCACCAATAACGTTTGTCCTTACTGAAATTTTGGAAGAGTCTGAACCGTGACAAATTTTTTTTTTTTTTAATATTACTCAGGGCATGCTCCTTATACGTGCAACAAAGTGACTATCGAAAAAAAGTGAGATAAGAGAAAGAAAGAAGGTAGTTGAACGCAGCATATTGATTGTGTGACCAAGCTGCAAATGTTATGCCTTTTCCGACTGGGCACTCACTACAACTACCGCCGAAGAAAATTCCACCGCACTGAGATTTGAACCTTTGAACGTTGAGTTGGTAGTCGCGCAAATAAAAGATTGATGGGAAAATTTTTGTGAAGAGTTAATATTTGCGAAATTATGAGTTAGATTTCCCAAGAAATATCTTCCAAGAATATTAAAATATGACTAACATTGAAATCCATCCAACATTTTTTGACACGCTGCCTGAGAATAAAAGGTATTTTACACAGGTTATACAGAGCCAATGATATATTCTCATTCGCTTTTCATTGAAACTGTCACGAAGTGAAATCACAAAAATTAATATAGTATAGGATAGGAACTGGAAATTTAATAAGAACGTTCGTCAATTTATTAAGAAGCTCGATCTAAGAACTGAGTATGAGCTACTCAGGCGCATGTGCCGAGAACCGCCATAAAAATCTTTTAAAAATCAATAATTTCTGTTTTATCAAGCGCTTGCATATATTTTGCGACATCTATTTGTGAAAATGATAAAGTAATGCGAAGTCTCAATGTACGCAACGGTTAAATTTGATAATTTTGATCTTTCTCTACAGACACTGACTGTTTTCCATTTAGTATTATTGAGTTGTTCAGCGCATTTTCAACATTAATTACTTTTGTTGTTTGATTTGAAAAAATCTGCTGCCGAATTGCAAGATTTCTTCGACGAAAATCCAGATCAATCTCAAAGAACTTGGGCAAAGCTTAGTCATTGATGAATCTTAGATGTTTACTTGCAATGAGAAAAATACAAAATGCGGGAAAATAGCCAGCTAGACAAAAAAAGACGAATTTTCAGTGACGTGTTATGACCGGCGAAAAGGATAGCTATCCACAATAACGACGAGGCAAAATATTCATGGCCATAAAGTTTTCCTATTCACATGGTGTGATCAACAAGGTGCATTATATTACGAGCTGCTAAAATTCAATAAAACTGTTACTGCAGATGTATAGCAACTTCAATTGAATAAATTGAACGATGTGTTCTTGCAAAAAAGTCCAACAGTAGTGGCTAACAAGCGTAAAGACATCCACTTGTATGACAACTCTCGGCCACTCGTTGCAAGAGTTGTCAAGGATATAGTGTTGCAGCTCGAATGGGAAGTTGTAGCGCACCTAACGTTCTCCTTAGCGCCTTCTGATTACCACTTGGTCGGGTCGATGGATTATGACTTGGCTGGCAAGCGAAAATGGATCGATGATTGCATAGTCGTCATGTGGTTCTTTCGAAACAGTTGCCAGAAAGATGAGAAAAATGGTAGAAAATGGTTGCAAATATTTATTAGTGTATATTGTTTTAATTTTTCTCAATAAATGCTTTTTCCAAGCAAAAAAATGATCAGAATAAATGCAATCACCTGTTATTTTTGTCAACAACATTCATCGCCATGGAGATCTTCCCGACAAGATGTTAACGATATACTCAGTAGGACCACAATGTTCCTGATCGGTTCCAGTGCGATCCAACAATATTTCTGATCGGTTTGCTAACATGCTCAGCTTTATTATATAGAATATATTTTTAAGTCCATTTCTAATTTATTTCAATTGGCTGAGGAACTTGCTGGTGCTCACAGGGAGAGCACAAAGGAAATTACTTGTGAGGAACCCGGATTCAGGACTTTGTATTTCCATCAGGCGCCTGGAGAAGCTCCAAGTTTATTACCGTAACATACGGATATATATCCACGAAAGTATAGTAACAACAATATAATAACAACTACGTCCAGAAAACACAAGCGAACATCATTCTTATCAAACTGTATTGTTTTATTTACAAAAAGATCCGCCTACTACTTACTTCTAAATATCCGCCTGAGTGGCCGAGTAGGCAAGAGTCTCGACTAGCAACTCAACGGTCGTGGGTTCAAATCTCAAGTGCGGT